TACAGAAAAAAAAGTTTGTAGGCCTCAGGATTTTTTTGATGAGGGCTTTTCTCCAGCAGCCCCGTATAAGAAAAACAAATATTTCCCAATCTTGTTGCATATGGGTTAGGGTTGGTTGTTGTGCGTTAGTAGTATTGTGGTTCGGCATGGAGGGAATTATGTTCCAGGTGCGCAAGAGGGAAAGACCTTCATCCAGAGAAGCAATGAGATGGCTGTTGCCCTTGTAGGTGATGTTAAGCTCAGCCGGATATATCCAGTGATAAATGATTTTATTATTTTGCAGAGCTTTAGTAATTGTTCATAGATTTCTGCGTTGAGATAAGTCTGGAATTATTTGTAAATTGGTTGCATGTTCTGACAAGTTGTCTGCATGACGGAATGCTTCAAGACATTTTTCTTTTACCAAAAAAAAGTGTACTCTCAACAGCACTTGAGGTACATCATGTGTCAGAAAGGATGATTTAGGAACTCTATGAATCCTGTCAATAGTAATATCAACTTATGTCAAAAATGGAATGACTGCCTTGAAGAGGTCTCCGACATAGAGAGGGAATTGATGTGGTAATACTGATTCTGGGACTTTGCAGATTTTTAGGTTGTTCCAGCGAGATTAGTCCTCAAGGTTGGCTATTTTTGATTGCAATGTGGAGATGACTTCCTGTTGTGAAGTGTGAGAATCTACCAAGGTGTTGAAGAAAGAGGTACAGTGGGGATCGAAAGTTTGGGCACCCCAGCTAAAAATTTGTATTAATGTGCATAAAGAAGCCAAGGAAAGATGGAAAAATCTCCAAAAGGCATCAAATTACAGATTAGACATTCTTATAATATGTCAACAAAAGTTAGATTTTATTTCCATCATTTACACTTTCAAAATAACAGAAAACAAAAAAAATGGCGTCTGCAAAAGTTTGGGCACCCTGCAGAGTTAATATCTTGTACTGCCCCCTTTGGCAAGTATCACAACTTGTAAACGCTTTTTGTAGCCAGCCAAGAGTCTTTCAATTCTTGTTTGAGGTATCTTTGCCCATTCTTCCTTACAAAAGTCTCCCAGTTCTTTGAGATTTCTGGGCTGTCTGTCACGCACGGCTCTTTTAAGGTCTATCCATAGATTTTCAATTATGTTGAGGTCAGGAGATTGTGAAGGCCATGGAAAAACCTTCAGTTTACGCATCTTGATGTAATCCCCCGATTTTTCGAGGTGTGTTTAGGATCATTATCCATTTGTAGAAGCCATCCTCTCTTTAACTTCAGCTTTTTCACAGATGGCATCAAGTTACCATCCAAAATTTGCTGGAATTTTATTGAATCCATTTTTCCTTCTACTCGTGAGATGTTCCCTGTGCAACACAACCCCAGAGCATGATTGATCCAACCCCATGCTTAACAGTTGGACAGAGGTTCTTTTCATTAAATTCTGTGCCCCTTCTTCTCCAAACGTACCTTTGCTCATTTCGGCCAAAAAGTTCAATTTTAACCTCATCGGTCCACAGAACTTGTTTCCAAAATGCAAAATGCATCTTCCATGAAGACCATATTTGTACAAGTATCTCTTTATAGTGGAATAGTGTACCACAACTCCAGTGTCTGCCAGATCTTTCTGGAGGGATCGTGCAGTCAAACGTGGGTTTTGAATTGTTTTTCTCACAATCCTGCGAGCTGTTCTGTCTGATATTTTTCTTGGTCTTCCAGATCTTGCTTTAACTTCCACTGTTCCTGATGACTGCCATTTCTTAATTACATTCTGAACAGAGGATATTGACATCTGAAAACGCTTTGCTATCTTCTTATAGCCTTCTCCAGCTTTGTGAGCGTCAACTATTTTCAGTTTCAGTTTTCTAGACAACTGCTTAGAAGAACCCATGGTGCTGATTGTTGGGGCAAGGTCAGATGAGTCTGGGCATTTAAAACCTTTGGGAAGACCAGGTGATGTCAATCTCAGACGATGATTGAGAAGAATCCATGACACTGGAAGGTCTCAGCTTTGCAAAGGGGGCAGTACAAGATATTAATTCTGCAGGGGGCCCAAACTTTTGCAGACGCCATTTTTTTGTTTTCTGTTATTTTGAAAGTGTAAATGATGGAAATAAAATCTAACTTTTGTTGACATATTATAAGAATGTCTAATCTGTAATTTGATGCCTTTTGGAGATTTTTCCATCTTTCCTTGGCTTCTTTATGCACATTAATACAAATTTTTAGCTGGGGTGCCCAAACTTTCGATCCCCACTGTATATTCACTCATCTTTGTCTCCACCTCATGTGCTCTATCTCCCAATTCATGCACCTCTACTCTGCATTGCTGAATACATGTGATCATGTCAGTTTGTAAAGAAGATCTCAAGGACATGATCATTTCCTTCTATGTTACATCTGATATACGTCTCCCTGTTGCAGGGAAGTGGGTAATAGGGTCTGGTTGTGCCCCTGAGTGAGAGTGCTGTGAGAGTCTTCGTGCCTTAGATTTGGTTGGGCTTCTGGTTGTGGGAGAGGAGGAGTTGGACTCTGAAGAGGCAGAGTCCCTGAAGCCAGCAGCGGTGCCTGCATTCACTTTGGCAGCGTCAGTGGGTGCCTCAGGTGCTGCCACGGGAGGTCTGGCGGCGGGCGGCAACGGAGATGTCTTCCGCCACCATTTTGTTGAAGCCCACGGGACATCAAAGGGAAGAAGTTAGAAAGTTTCTGGACTTGAGGCAGGTCTTGATGGTGTCTCCTCATCCCGCTAGGTGCATTCGGTAATCAGGATGCTGGGGAGAAGAGTGGCGGGAGTTGATAGTGATCCTGGTGCAATTTAGTGGCGGTAATTCCCCAGTCAGAGAACAGCTCTGTGCCCCCCAAGTATTTTGTTTTGAACCATTCATTTGATATTATATACACTTTTTAATCAGGTATATACTGGTTCTCTAAGACGAACCCACTAATTTGTTGACAACTGTTATAACTTTGCTCTATTTCTTTGTATACTGCTCAAAAAAAATTAAAGGAACACTTTTTAAACTCCTGGGATATTGATCTGGTTGGTTGCATAGCAGAGGGGATTGTTAATCAGTTTCAGCTGCTTTGGTGTTAATGAAATTTACAACAGGTGCACTAGATGGGCAAAAATGAGACGGCCCCCAAAACAGGAATGGTTTTACAGGTGCAGGCCACTGATTTTTTTTTCCCTACTCATCTTTCTGACTGTTATTCACTAGTTTTGCATTTGGCTAGGGTCAGTGTCACTACTGAAAGCATGAGGTGATACCTGGACCCTACAGAGGCTACACAGGCAGTCCCAACTCCTCCAGGATGGCACATCAATACGTGCCATTGCCAGAAGGTTTGCTGTGTCTTCCAGCATTGAGGAGATTCCAGGAGACAGACAGTTACTCTAGGAGAGCTGAACAGGGCTGTTGAAGGTCTTTAACCCATCAACAGGATCGGTATATGCTCCTTTGTGCAAGGAGGAACAGGATGAGCACTGACACTAACGATTGGGATTCAGATTGCTGCAATGGTTGTTCTTAAAATATTCATACGTGCTGCAGTGATTGATTTCTGTCACCTGTATTACTTCATGTATAGACGGGTGCAATCTGCATACTGCACCTGATCTTATTTTTTAATTTAATTTTACTGCTATTTGGAACCTCTATTTTGTATAGACTTTCACTATTAGATATTATTATTATTATTATCATTTTTAATTAATTATCTAATTTTTTCATCTTAATTGTGATTGTAACCTGAACCCCAATTGGTCACATCTAAGTATGTTTACCTTGACACCAATACCCCACCCCCTTGCTATGACACATCCGGCCCATATTAGAGTATCTATACAAATGTCTCACTTAAATGTCATATATATAAGAGAGGCAATCTCTATCTTGGCTCTGAGGAAGAAGGGATCTCCCTTCGAAACGTGTCTGCCTTTTAGGAGAGTCCCCCTGTCAGTGGGATTTGCATGCTACTTGATCTCCTGTGATCCACTCTTGGATACTATACACTTTTTATATTGCTATGTTTGTGAGTACACATCTTATTTTAATAAAATCTTCTTATTGCTGAGGTAATGTGCAAGGTTGGTGCCCTTTTCTTTTGTTCTTATTTGCAGTTTGTTCAGGCTTCCCCAGCCTTACCGAAGGGCTGCACAACCTTTGATCCCTTGGTGGACATGTCTTACGAAGGTCGATGTATCCTGTTTCAGATCTAGGTCTTTGAGCGCTGGAGATGTCATCTTGATTTTATATTATGTTTCGGTCCATCCGACGCCGTCAGGTTGCACCTCAGACTGTCCAGGAGCTAAGTGATGCCCTGGTGTAGATCTGGGAGAAATGCCCCAGGACACCATCCGTCGTCTCATTAAAAGCATGCCCCGATGTTGTCAGACATGCATACAAGCACGTGGGGGCCATACAAACTACTGAGTACCATTTTGAGATGCTGCAATGAAATTTCAGAAAAATAGACTTGCCTGCTGCATAATTTTTTCACTTTGATTTTTGGGGTGTCTTTGGATTCAGTGCTCTGTAGGTTGATAATTTTCATTTCCATCAAACAATGGGGCATCCTTACGTTCCTAGCACATTACTCAGTCCATATCAGTATACATATCAAGCATGATATTTTTCCCCACTGAAAACACATCAGATCTCAAAGTGTTCCTTTCATTTTTTTGAGCAGTGTATATGTTAAAAAACTTATAATAAACAACCATTGAAATTAAAATTAATGTTTTATCCAAATCACGTATCTCTTCAGAGCCCTACCAATTTTTATCCCAAAATACTTTATTGATCAGCTTGATTGTGATTAGAGATGAGCGAAGTATTGAAAAATTCGATTCGACTGATTCTGGCGAATTCGTGGAAAAATTTCGATTCGAGTCGAATATATTCGCTGCGAATTTAACTTATAAAAGGGTGTTTTTAGGCTTCAGAGAGCCTTTATTTAGTGCAGAACACTGTACCCTTAATTTAAATGCCCTTGGAGTCTGCTGGGGAAGAGAAAATAATACTGACAGTCAGTATGACATGCAGATGAGTGCCGTCGATCTTAGAATCACCGCACACTTCACTCATTTGGGCAGTCACGGGGCCAAAACCAGAGTGTGTGGAGCCACAGTGTGGCGGTGGAGGCAGCCAGCAATGGGAGGCCATACAGCACCCTATGACAAAAATGGAAACCACCAGCAGTGTGAGGAGACCTGAAAGTGGCACATGGCAGAGTGTGGCGATGGAGACAGCAGCAATGGGAGGCCGTACAGGGACCCATGAGACACTGTGGACCTGGCAGCAGCATGAGGAGGCGGTACAGGGGCCCATGACAGATTATGGGCCTGGCAGCAGCATGAGGAGTCGGTACGGGGGCCCATGGCAGATTACGGGCCTGGCAGCAGCAATGGGAGGCCGTACAGGGACCCATGACACACTCTGGACCTGGCAGCAGCATGAGGAGGCGGTACAGGGGCCCATGACAGATTACGGGCCTGGCAGCAGCATGAGGAGTCTGTACGGGGGCCCATGACACACTCTAGACCTGGCAGCAGCATGAGGAGGCGGTACAGGGGCGCATGACAGATTACGAGCCTGGCAGCAGCAACTTGGACAGGAGGACGTTCAGCTTCTGCACCGTCGGGTGCGTGCTCGCAAACTGTTGTCTCTTGGAAACGGATTCCAAGAAAGACTGCTGACGGAATCCGTGAAGAGGAGTAGCAGGAGAAGGAGCATCTGAACGAGCGGAATATATGCCAACAAGCGACAACAGGGCCCATGACAGATTACGGGCCTGGCAGCAGCATGATGAGGTGGTATAGGGGCCCATGGCAGATTAGGGGCCTGGCAGCAGCTATGGGAGGCCCGTAATCTGCCAGCACCCTATGTCAAAAAATTGAACACACCAGCAGTGTGTGAGGAGAGACCTGAAAGTGGCACATGGCATGAGACACTGTGGACCTGGCAGCAGCATGAGGAGGCGGTACAGGGGCCCATGGCAGATTAGGGGCCTGGCAGCAGCAATGGGAGGCCCGTAATCTGCCAGCACCCTATGACAAAAAATGGAACACACCAGCAGTGTGAGGAGACCTGAAAGTGGCACATGGCAGAGTGTGGCGATGGAGACAGCAGCAATGGGAGGCCGTACAGGGACCCATGAGACACTGTGGACCTGGCAGCAGCATGAGGCGGTACAGGGGCCCATGGCAGATTAGGGCCTTCTGGCAGCAGCTATAGGAGGCCCGTAATCTTGCCAGCACCCTATGACAAAAAATGGAACACACCAGCAGTGTGAGGAGACCTGAAAGTGGCACATGGCAGAGTGTGGCGATGGAGACAGCAGCAATGGGAGGCCGTACAGGGACCCATGAGAGACTCTGGACCTGGCAGCAGCATGAGGAGGCGGTATAGGGGCCCATGGCAGATTAGGGGCCTGGCAGCAGCTATGGGAGGCCCGTAATCTGCCAGCACCCTATGACAAAAAATGGAACACACCAGCAGTGTGAGGAGACCTGAAAGTGGCACATGGCAGAGTGTGGCGATGGAGACAGCAGCAATGGGAGGCCGTACAGGGACCCATGAGAGACTATGGACCTGGCAGCAAGCATGAGGAGGCGGTATAGGGGCCCATGGCAGATTAGGGGCCTGGCAGCAGCTATAGGAGGCCCGTAATCTGCCAGCACCCTATGACAAAAAATGGAACACACCAGCAGTGTGAGGAGACCTGAAAGTGGCACATGGCATGAGACACTGTGGACCTGGCAGCAGCATGAGGAGGCGGTACAGGGGCCCATGGCAGATTAGGGGCCTGGCAGCAGCAATGGGAGGCCCGTAATCTGCCAGCACCCTATGACAAAAAATGGAACACACCAGCAGTGTGAGGAGACCTGAAAGTGGCACATGGCATGAGACACTGTGGACCTGGCAGCAGCATGAGGAGGCGGTACAGGGGCCCATGGCAGATTAGGGGCCTGGCAGCAGCTATGGGAGGCCCGTAATCTGCCAGCACCCTATGACAAAAAAATGGAACACACCAGCAGTGTGTGAGGAGACCTGAAAGTGGCACATGGCAGAGTGTGGCGATGGAGACAACCCACCGACTGTTTTGCTCGCTGCCAAGCTGCCACCCTCTTCTTCTCCTGATGATGCGGAAGCAATAGCCTGATGACGACGAGGCTGCCAAGTGCAATCAGCCTCATCATCATCAATTAGGGTCTCCGCCTCACTACTAGCCCCCTCGGCTGCGTGTGGGTCAGGAGACAGACCTGTCTCTAGACCGGCTACCGAGCCACTCTCCTCGCCACTACTTCTTCGCCTGGCTGCTGAAGAGGCGGATGTCTCCCCCCGTTCCTGACCGCCCTCTGTTAGCTCTTCCTCACTGTACTGGATGACACCGGGAGCACTGGCCTCTGGCTGCGAATAGTGCTGCCTCGACCCCTTCCTCTGCTGCCACGTCTGCTCGCTCCTAAAACATTGACTCCTCTGCCACTCCTCTGCATGTTGTCTGACATACTCTTTAATTAAACGATTCTGTGTCCCTGAGTAACAATTCTGTGGCCCTAAGTAACAATTCTGTGTCCCTCAGTAACAATTCTGTGTCCCTCAGTAACAATTCTGTGTCTGTCCCTGAGTAACAATTCTGTGTCTGTCCCTGAGTAACAATTCTGTGGCCCTAAGTAACGTTTCTGTGGCCCTAAGTAACGGTTCTGTGGCCCTAAGTAACGTTTCTGGCCCTCAGTAACAATTCTGTGTCTGTCCCTAAGTAACAATTCTGTGGCCCTAAGTAACGTTTCTGTGGCCCTAAGTAACGATTCTGTGGCCCTAAGTAACGGTTCTGTGGCCCTAACTAACGTTTCTCTGTCCCTAACTCTCTCCCTGAATACAGCCAGGTCTGCCTCTGTTGAATGACTGGAGGCAAATGGAGAATTCTAAAATGGCCGCCATTTATAGCTCGACCATTACACTGTGCTGGCTGGCTGGCTGCTGATTGGCTAATGCGATCACATGTCATGAATGAATGCATTATGGGTCAGCGCGCCTTGTCTGCGTGCCTTCCCAGACATCCCCGCTCCGTCGCCGCACATGTCGCCACCATTTTAGGAAAAATTTCGATTCGCGCATCCGAAGACTGCTTATTTTCGGATTCAACGCGAATTGAAATTTTCCTAATATTCGAAACGAATTCCACTTCGCCTACTTCGATTCGCTCATCTCTAATTGTGATATTAACAAGTTCATTATGCAGGAAAAGCGTCCCATGTTACCTCTCAGGTGTTATGTGGTCCTCATCTATTTCCAACCTGCTGTAAAATATCGTATTGTCTCGATATTTTATTAACTTGTATTGATGAGAAATGTTCAGATAGAAAGTCCTTCCACTTCTTGCATAAACTTAAAAAGATGATTTAATAATAATGTTGCATAAAATTAGAAATAAAATATTGGCATACAGAATGTTTAAATAATGTCCAAAAAATATAGTTAAGTTCTTGATAATAAGATTGTATATATGTATATGTGTGTGTCTCAAGGCTTCTAGCAAAGAGTGTCCTTAAAAAGTCTTTGTTCTGCTCTTAAAAGAGCAATCCAGCCCCCACCATCTCCTAAAAATGGGCTGATCTCTTGTGTTCCTTGTAGTCCCACCAAGATAATTGGAAACAGATGTGTATATATAACAAATCTCTAGTCTACTTCTCCTAAAGTCTGAGTGTAACCTAAGAAGGCCTAGACATTCCATCAATCAGAGTAAATTAGATGTATTACACACACACCACATGTGTGGCTTGAATGTAAAGAAAAACCCAATATATATGTTCATATGTATATTCACAGACTATGAAGTCTACTTACTTTTCCCAATCTAGAACAAATATAAATATAATAACTCAATTATTCTATTAAGATCCAACTCATTCATACTTATGTTAGTACTGTTAATAAGAAGATATTAGGTTAAGGAAAGCTTCTAACACAACCATAATTTGGTCTCTCTTAATATCTTAGTCATTCAATTCCTACAATTATGGTCCACTTTATAAAACTACATTTGGCTTGGTGTCCCCCACCCTATCGGGAACTTTATTTTTGGGTGACCCCGCTTTTATTTCAGCATTTTCTTCTCCAGAGATTTTTTCCTGGTGGCATACTAATTACTATATCACTCTTTCTGCACTCCACGTAGGAGGGAAGTTTAGTTCCTCTGACTACCTATGCACACAGAAGAATTCCCCCGCGATGTGAGTATTATCCATATTTGAAGATTAGACACTTTTATTCTACCCACTATGGTCTTTCCCCCATTTCACCAATAACAAAGGAAAGGCTTTGCCATGACACTCTGAGAGGAAAGGGCTTTTTTTGGAGCTCTATCGGTTGGTTGTTAGTACTTCCCTTCCTAACCCCTTTCCTTATATGGCTAAACGGGGAGACTTATTGTCAGGGATCTCTGGCTGGACCGCGGCGCGCGAGTCTGTGCATGCGCGGTATGCTGGGGCGCACTAGGACCTGGGCGCCCGCGATGGCAACGGACACGCGCCTGGCACCAATAGGAGCGTAGGGCGCCCTATTTAAACAGGCTCTGACTGTGCCTTAGTTGCCGTGTGGTCTTTTCCAGTATCCTGTGTCCTGAGAGATTGCTTTGCTGCCGACCCTGCCTGACCCTGATTCGTTGACTGTCTCCTGCTCTGACCCCTGGCTTGTCTGACCATTCTACTGTCTAATCCTGTACCTTTGATCTCCTGTTGCCGAACCTGGACCGTGACCCTTTATTCATCTGCCTGCTGTTTGTACCGACCTGCCTCCGCTGTTACCGACCTGTCCTCGACTTCGCTCACTCCGCCTCCTCACATCAGACTCTCACCTGCTACATACCTTCGGCAAGTGCCTCTACCACAGCTGGTTGCACCCAGGGGCCGCGACCTGGTTTCGGCTTGCTCCAAGTCCATCCCCACCATCAGGGGCTCTGGTGAACAAGCAGGTTGGGACTTAGATTCCGCGCCCTGGGGAATTCTGGTCTGTGGAGCGCTAGAGGCTACCGCCGGTCGGTCCATAACACTTATTGTGCCACACAATTTTCCCCTGAGACTGGGGCTCTATGTTGGATAATTTGCACAAATGCACACAATCACTTTCGGTTAGGGAGACTGCCTTTAAGTTACTTACTAGATGATTTTACACTCCCTTGAAACTTCACATTATCTATCCAGGAGTTTTGGAATTATGCTTTTTTGACTGTCCACTTAGTGGATCTTTACTGTAAATCATATATTTTTAGACTGTGAGAAATTATCCCTGCTGTGGTGTAAGGTCTCAATTGTAGCTACTGCAATTTCTGGTCATCACCTTAGCCTAACTATGCCGATGTGCCTTCTTGGAGCTTCTATCCCATGGATTTCACAGGGGGGGGAGAGAGTTATCCATACCATTAGTGTAGCGACAATATGGGCCATTGCCCTGCAATGGAAATCACTCACTGTCTTTGTAAATGGATAGGATTGATGCTATTATGCTAATGGAAAGGATCCTTTATACGAGTTAGAATGCACCTGTTCTCTCTTAAATGGGATGCTTGGACTACCCACTGTCATATTTTTATATCCTGATTTCAGGTTTTATCTTTCTTTAGATACCTTTATTATGGTATGCTAGAGTAGAGTTTTTGTGGCTCTTCTACCTGTTGCTCCTTCCTTTTTTCGGACCTCTAGATGTCACCCTGTATTATACTGTGATTTTGCTGCTAACATTGTGCTTCTTGATTGTTTCTTTTTTTAATGGATTATGCATACATATTAATCTTATTCTCTTTTGTATACGCCTTGTCATGAAGCTTTGTATTGGATTTGTATGCTTTTCCAATAAACCGTTTGTAAACAAAAAAAGAATATCATATCAGCTATTTCTTATTCTTTCTTTGGGTGAAAAATATGGAAAGGAAACCACCTGCAAAGACCATTGCATCGTAGATCGTCAAACTTTTAAAGAAAACATACAGGGTAGTGGGCATGGAATCTCCTTCAGTGGTGAAAGCACTACAAGGGCAGTTGCAGCATCCTGGGCAACATGTTCACAAGACAAGCCATCCAAGTTTTTCTCTTCCTTTCATTAAAATCTTTTGTTTTGCAATTTATCACTAGTATGTTGCCATGTAGGCACCAGGAAAATTTGTCCAAATGCTTTCATACCACCCTC